TTTATTCTTTTATTATTATGTTATTTATCTATAGTATTTTTATATATTTATTTTTATATTTATATTATTTATATCATTGTATTCTTCTTATTATCTATATATTATTATATTCTTCTTATTTTATGTTTTTATGTTTATATTATTTAGATTTTCTTATTTTTATGTTTATATTCTTTTATATTTAGATATATTTGTTTATTTGAATATTCATCTTATTCATTTTTATATTATTATCATTTATATCTATTTTCAATTTATATTTATTCTGTTTTGTTTTATATTAATATTAAATTTATCTTTTATCTTTTGATTTTATTATTATATCATTGATTATCATTTCTATATTTATTTATCATTTATTCTTATTATTCTTTTGTTTTTCTATATTCTATCTATATCATATATTCATATCATTTTCATTTATATTTTATCACTTATTATATATTATAATAACATAACACATATGATTGAATATATAATAAACATCATGATGAAGTTATACATATAAATAATAAACATAAAAAAGAGTAAAATATTTTTCATTAATAAAATAATATTAATCATTTTACATCATTAAATTAGACACTTTTTATTTCATATTTCTAATTTTTACAATAAAAATACACTTTTTATTTCTTCTTTTCATATTTTATTACATCTTTGTGATTTATTATTTTTATATTCTTCTTCTTATACTTTTTATTCTTTTATATATTTTTATTCTTTTTATATTATTTGTTTTTCGTTGTGTTTCTATTTCTTTCTTCTATTATTTATCAATTTTATATTCATTTATTCTTTTTATTTCTTTTTTATTAATTCTTGAGTATTGTATATTTCTTTAATATTTCATATATATTATCAAAATATATGTTTTATTGATTTTATGTTGAATAAAATATTGAATAAATCAATATTTTTATTCTTAATTATTCATTCTTTATTCTGAAATGTTGTGTATATTTATTATATTAAATGAATATGATAAATGAATATCAATATTATTGTTTATTTGATTTTAAAACAAATAATAAATGAATATGAAATAATGAAATAAAATAAAGAAGACAATGAAATGATAATGAAATAGAATAATCTAATATTGAACAAATCAAATAAAGAATATATTGAATATATCATTATTGTTACTTTATTATTTGTTATTTCAATTATTAAATATTAATAAATTATTATTCATGAATATTTAATTGATATTTTACAATTTCATTTTCAT